TATTAATGCAATGTGAAATGAAGCAATTTTTTAAATTTACCATTGTCATGACTGTCCTTGATAACAAACAAATCCCTTCCACTGTGGATAATTCTGAAAACACAGATTCATCCACCTCAGTGCCAGAATCATCTTCCATAGTAATCTTGTCCACAGGGATCGAGAACTTCTCTCTCACTAAGTGATGAGGTTAAGAGACAACATAATTGTTTAATTTGTAAAATATATTGGCCTCCACTCAGTCTGAATTACATGGTTAGTCATATATGAGATATTTACCTTCAGAAATTAATTTCTCGAAATCAGCAGCTTGTAACTTGATGTATTTCTTGCGGTTTTGATACTGGACCTTAATTATCATTTTGCCATCTACATCATGAGCCTGTAGAGAAACAGAGGGACAACATGACAATGCTAATTTAAATGATAAATAAATATTTGTTACTTTTAATAAAGTAAAAAACAATAAATAAAATTAACTGTTGACTACACTCAAATGCTCTGATGGATCAAAGTATACTTCTTGGAACTGAAGTTGGAGGGTATGCAGATGTTCTCTTTCTGCCCGACAGGTCTGGCACTTTACATACTGCTCTTCGCACTTCATATGGTGACTGTATATCTTTGTATCCTGTCAAACAAACGCACTGATAAACACAAAATAGTCCCTTTATGGCTGTTTGCCTTTCATGGCATATGTGATCAAACATTACTGAATAGTACCACAGGCATCTGTTAATAGCTTGCCATTAACTGTTACCTGTGTGATTTTTAGGGATGGGGATCATAAATTTTTATTGATACCATTCCTGAGACTGCTTAACGATCCGAGACTTTATCAATACTTTACTATTATTTGGTAAGACCAGACCCAACGGGCATGAGGTAGGCCTGCACGGAATGAGGAATAATATTTTATGTGTATATTGAGATGACATATGTGATAAATACACAAATATGGCAGTGTGTATATTAACTGCCTGGTTGTTTTTAAATTAGTTATAGGATTAGAATTGAAGATTTTAAATACAACTGTTTCTAGAGCAGCAACGTTAATGTTTACAACAGCAAATAAACTCAATGTCTGACATCACAATAGAGTGATGTTTAGAAAGAATGAAAAACTCAGTCAGCATCTTCCTCCTCCTCTCTGCTGTTATTCACTGTCTGAAGGTAACGTTACTTGGTCGGAGGAGAAGCGGCTGGTTTGTCTCAGCCAGCAGCTGAGTTTTTAACAACGTGCCAAATGTTAAGACTACAGACCAGTCTATGCTTCAGACAGCTTTTTATTTAGCTTGTTTTTAACATTTTGCTAATTGCCAAGCTAACATTAGCTGTGCTTGTATAAAACATACAGGATGACAGACTGAGGACAGAGCAGTTCAAATGAACCCTTTCTAACGTTACACGTTTACCCTACAGACAGGTTATTGATATAGTAATGTATTTGTACTCGCTAACGTTTTATTGCATGTACTTACAGTAACGAGCGTAGCTGTCGTCAACTCGAGTAATGTTATTTTGAAATTAACTTGTCTCCACCGTGACGGAGCGGTGTCTGCGTCTCTCTGCTGGCCTGCTGTCTATGTGTGTGTATGTAACTTATGTAGGAGGCGACAGACAGCAGTGAGGCTGCAGCCTGATTATAAACTGTCCTGGACTGGTACTTATACTGGCCCGTTTAATACCGCGTTTCGGTCCCATTAATAAAAAACATTAGTTGTCTTATCCATCGCGCTACAAGTTAAATCAGATTTGATGCTCAAGACATAAACTTACACGACCCACTAGTCTCGATAGCAGTATCGATAAGCTCGGACCTTATTGATTTACGGGTTTTGAGAAATTTTGGAAACGGGTCCTTTTAGAACCGGGTAATGTTATCGATCCCCATCCCTACTGATTATACTGTAGGTATGGGTTTCCAACATTAATGTTATATGCACAACATACAGAATTAACGTTAGCCACTGCCAAGAAACAGTAATGTTAAACTTGCATCTGCAGTTCAATAAAAACGCTGCTTTGAAAGACACGTTAAACTGTAACGCTAAGTTAACCTTAACGTTAGATTAAACTTTTTTTTTTTTTTTTTTAATATCTAGTTAACTATACATGATCACGTTTGCATTATGGAAACGTAGCAGGTATAATTCAGCCAAAATGTACTTAACTGAAGTTTGAGTTTTTGAGTGGGCACCCTCGTGGTCGTGATTGCTACAACTTAATAATATCAAGTGATTAATGTTAACGTTAGTGAAAAGACGCGCAAATTTTTGCTGACAAAAACCGGACACACAGCCGTGTCAGATTAAACATGTTTTAATAATATGCTTGACCCAAATAGCTTAAAACTATTTTCAAAAAGAGTTTAGCTAGCTTAACTTCAGCTCAAAGTGTCTTAAAATGAACTAAGTTAGCTAACCTCCTCGTGTTAACAGTTATCCTCAATTGGCACCTGCTTAACGTTACCAGCAAATTCCTCTACGCGCGTACCTGCCAAAATACCCGGATGTTCAAAGTATCACTCATAGTGTTGAATACCGATAACTCTGTAATTTTACGCCAACACTATTATGTATTTTCACTGTACGGAGTTCATTTTATCAGAATTAACACCAGAACCTCAACCTAACACTAGAATTTTGACTGATGAATTTGCTGTGTGCTCAACAGAACAAATACAGACTTTTACAGATCTGCCACCCTATGCTTCACTGAAACCGAGCACATCTGGTAGAGCTCACTTCACCTGCTGGGATTCTCCTCCGAGTGGACCAGGTAACGGAGCTTTGAGGGAAGACGAGGGGTGGAGGAATCTGCGTCTTCATAAACGAAGGTTGGTGTACAGATGTCACAGTGTTGAGGTAATCATGCAGTCCTCACTTAGAGACATTATTCATAAACTGTAAACATTTTTATTCACGTGGGACTTTTCCTTGTTTATTCTGGTCGGTGTTTACATCCCACCTCAGGATCCTGTATAACCAGGCCAAAAACATGCTGACAAAGGAGGTCAAAGCAGCAAAGAGGAGCTACTCTGAGAAGCTGGAAAACAGCATTTCAGCCTGTGACTGCATCGGTGTTGAGACCTGCAGGACATCAGCAGCTGCAGGAAACCAACCCCCACGCAGTGGAAAACCACCAACTGGCTGATGACCTGAATGTATTTTAAAGTAAATTTGATAAGCCCACATTCACACCCCTCTCCCGCTCCGGCATCAAACAGCCACCTTTACTCCCTGCCACCCCTCCCCAGTAAACCCCCCCCACCACCACCTGCACTCAGGATCTGTGAAGAGGATGTGTGTCAGCTCTTTCAGAAACAAAAGATCAGGAAGGCACCAGGATCAGTTGGAGTGTCACCATCCTGCCTGAAAATCTGTGCTGACCAGCTGGCCCCCATCTTCACGCAGGTCTTCAACAGATCACTGGAGCTGTGTGAAGTTCCCTCTGGCTTTAAACCCTCCACAATCATCCTGGTCCCTGAAAAACTAGTATGAGTAACAGATTAATGCACCTACAGGCTTAGCAGGCACTACAACACTCCCAATGGTTTGTAATACTCACAGACAGGATTTTACAACACAGTTTTAATGGCAGCACCTATTTATCTTTAATTGCAACAATTTGAGTTAAACAGTAGAAATACAGCATTCTCATTACTAAGACATCTACCAGGAATGTGCTTGCATGTATGTGATCGGCAGCGCCTTGCCGGATTTGACAACCCTGCGTTATTTTCCAGAAGTCCACTGCAATGACACCCCTGCTACGCTGCGGGACCTCCATTCAAATGAATGAGAGCTCATGTTGGTCTGAAAAGCCTACAGCTGAGGGGGATGTTAATGTCACTAGTTTTCGCAGCTATTTGGTCCACCAAGTCAAATTCATGTTCATCTAGATGAAAAGTAATGGTAATCGATCCAGAAGATATTAAATATATTTTTCACAAAAACCAAATATGTTGACCTCATAGTGGTACAAGATTTAAAGCAAGATGTAAATGTCATGGCAATTCATCTGAAATTGCCATTCCACCATACCTGCCACCCGTCTCGTTTTAATGTTCCGACCAAATAAAATTATTGTCTGTGCTTATTACAGTCCTGCACCAGCCACAGATATCGGAATTTTTTCATTTTTGTGACAGAGCTTTTGATTTATTGATTACCGTTGGGATATAATGACAATTTCAACAAATTGCCTAAACTGCCTACGCCAGCTTTAAGTCTGGAGTTTTGTTTACAGATATTGTAGCTGTCTGACTGACGTGAATGCAACAGCATAGTAAACTACAAACTTAGATAAATAAATTAGTTGCAAGAAGATGGGTTATGGTAGATGTATTAGTGTCACTGACTTGAGGCAAGATGTTGTGCTGGCTTTTCTTCTCCATTTTCCCTCATGAGTTTGTTACAAAAACAGAAATAGATAAAATGACATCTTCACCTAACTTGAAGCAGTACTTGTCCAAGACAACCCTCGTCAAAGCTGGTTTTGCGAATCCTTGCACGATTAGCCTCTTGAAATCCTTGAAGCTCTAGTGAATGCAATTAAAAGCTTCAACCACAATCACTGAGACATTATTACAGCCACTTTACAGCATGAATGTTAAAGCAATTATGTTAAACTAAAAATTTTTTAAAATTTGCATTTGCTGAAGACCATGCAGTGATTCAGATGATCTACATTTGCAACATGAGCATTCAGCCATTTAATTTCATGGCACTCTTCTCTCTGCTGCTTTAATGGTACAAACATTCAGATCTTTTTACTGCTGCTGGAGTGAGCAGATAATTTGATGATTGATAAGAGCTATTCAAAAGCACTGGCTACGTTTCCCATATTTGCTTGCATCCATGTAGAGGTTGGCTGTAATTCCAAACTGCCACAGTTCCTATTAAATATATCTGAAGGCATTCACAGCATCAGTATTACTTTCACAGCTAATCTGCCAAACTGATAAGGTGAGGAAGTGTCTTACAGACAGAAAGCAAGTGGGATGACACTAACAGACTCTCTATTAATCAATGATCTCTACTATCTCAACCTCCTCATTCAAACAGCTGCTGCCAACAAAAATCTGATATATTTGCATAAACACCTTATCATTTAATTACAGCTGAGAGTTCTCCAATCATGCCCTGACATTATGCTTTTGTAGAGGCTTAGTGACTAAAATGATTACGCTTTGAGACAGCATGTAAATGAAGACTATACATACTGTATGTTAGAAATTACAGTATATTCAAAATAACTGAAATGAGTGCATCCAGTAAAATTCCCAATGTGAAAAAATTACACGTAGGCTCATCTAGATAAGTGCCTGGTCTTTTTAGTCCAAAATAGCTGCCCGGAGGCGTTGCCAAGATGGCTCCCAAGTGGTAGGACTTGCCTAGGACTTTGCTTACACTCACCTTTTACTACAGAACATAAGCCATTACGTAAACAGTCACATCTCTCCTCTAGTAGCTTCCTGTAACCATAACTGTAATCTGGTATCCCCTGGACACCCCAACCAGGTCTAAAAACCCCACCTCCTCTATTGTTCTGTTTCTTTCCTGGTTTGCCTCTGATGGCTCTCTGACCTCTGGGAACGG